AGGTGAATTAGAACAGCATCAATCAAACTCTAGTGGAGATTTACACCACAATTTTAACCTGAACACGGCTAACCGCTTGCATTCACTTTGAATGACATTTAATTTTATGTCTGCTTGCAGAAACATGACATATTCAAGAAAAGAATTGATTCTCATGGTAATGTAATAGAAGAAAGGCAGGAGGGTATTGGTGCTCCCAAGGTCAGTATAAATAGTTCTTGAAATCCACCAGTTGTTTGCGTACTATAGTGAGTCTTTTTTCCATATCTTTTTGCACTACATTTTGCAATGGCTTTGGCACATTAGAAATGTCTAGTCTCTCGTTATAAGAAATGCCTATATGTAGCATTATCCATGAATGCCATTTCAAAACTCACGAGAGATTCTTATGCAAAAGGGGCCTCATTTTGATTGAGACATTATGTTCAACGTGTCAAACTATCTCCGTTTTCCTGCAGCATTGTTGTGGTTGTGGTGCAGCCACTTTTAAATCATTCATAATTTAATGCTTAATAATGAAATTATATTCCTTTTATGCTCTTTTTGGTTTTCATATTTTCCCTTATGTTTATACTGACTTTTTATAAACGGCACAGATTGAAAAGCCTTTACAAAGACATGGTGGAAGACTTGAACACAATGAGACATACTGTGGTTCATGCTATGGTGCAGAAGCGGTATGCTTTTCTATGGCCTCGTGTGTTGATGCTTGGCTAAATGTTTGATTATGAAGCTTATATATATAATTTACATAAGAGCTTATGGATTGTTGAGCTAGACCTATTCAGTTAATTTGTTTAAAGATTTAATTTGGAATAAACACCAATTTACTTTGGAGGAACCTCTTATAATTCCTAGCAAGGATACAGATACAGGACACAGATACAACACAATATAGGCACATGTTGATGTGGTAATTTCAATAAATCAGTACACAGTTCTCAGGGCACTATCCTTGCAACAAAAGTTTTGAAAAATTTAGTTAATTTAAACATTTACCTGCTTTGGTCAAGCTATGATAAAAATCTTGGGTTTTTTATATTTTCATTATATAGCTTTTTCTAATTTAGTAAGCAAGCAAAATTTATTTATTTTGCACCTCTGGTTTTGGTTTCCATTATATTATGCTGCAGAACAAATTCAACTCATTCAGGAAAGAAGCTTCCTGTTTCTGTTGCTTATGGATAATCCCATTTCTTGCTATTTTGCAGTCAGATAATGATTGTTGTAACTCTTGTGAAGATGTTCGTGAAGCATATCGAAAGAAAGGTTGGGCGATATCAAATCCAGATATGATTGATCAGGTCTGCTAGTTTTTTTCCTTCTTCTCAAAAGATACTGTTTTATTGCCATGCATATTCCTAAGACAGCCTCCTTTCGTGGGGCACAAGATCACTTGAAGCACAATGCACAACCTAGATGTTATTCATTGGTGTGATGCTGTGAAGTGCAACTCCATTTTCTCATCGTTGCCATATATTAAAATGCTGATGTGTGGGTGTTGTTTTTATCATTGGGGTTGAACTATTTGCATGTGAGACCATTCTGATGCTTGAAAATGACTGAAATTTTTGTTTGATCGGTGAACTGACTTTAGCTTCCTTCCAAATCTTACTTGCATATATATCTGAAAAAATCTTACAAGTTTATATGTCTATATGCATGAATCTATTTTGATAATTGATAAGTTATTATGGTAACATGCTTCTAACTTTATAGAATCTTTAGCAAGATGTAAGGATGCTTAAGACAATGATTGTGTAATTTCTCAGCATAGCTGCCCTATAGAAAGTGTGCATGAGCCCTTCACATGTATGGATGAAATGAATTCCTAATATACACAGCCTCAAAGAAGTTTGTAATATTTTGAAATATAATGAGTTGTGCACATCAAGCACAGCGGAATTTATATTTGCTCTCTGGAAAATTTCTTGTCTACTCTCAAATTTCCCAAGTCAGTCATCTGTAGGAAAACATCACACAACTCTCTTTGGAATTACACTCGCCACCAAATATTATAAACACTTGCCACCATGTGCTGAAGCGGGCTATAAACAACTAGACCAAGTGAAACCGTGACAGAGAAAGAAAGATACAGCTTAGGTGAAGTGTAGCTTTATTCTTCTTTCTTTTTATATATTTATTTATATTTTTTGTGTGTTTCTGATCTACAATACTCCTGTTTCTGATTTGCTTTAAACCTTTCCCAACCCTAGAAATTTTGTTGCATAACCCTAATTTGTTGCCCATCCATCACAATGGCTCAAGCCTAGTACTTAGGAGAACACAAAACAGTCCTATGTTCTTGTTCACGGGTTACTGTTCACAGTGCAGGAACAACCCCAGAACCAAGGTTTTAAAAAGCGACTGTAACAGTTACGTAACACCATTACGTAACGGTTGTGGTGGTTACTGCCACCCGTTACGGCTACTTTTGCGGTGTGATTGAGATTCACAGGTGTGTCAGTCGTAGCGGCTGCCGTAACGGTGTCGTAACGGTTCCAAACTATTCTTTTAAAAAAATTAAAAAATTAAAAAAAAAATCTAAAAATGGGAGAAGATGGAGGAGTAAGAGATAAAGAGAGAGAGAAGAGGGAAGATGAAGAACATGTTATGATTTGTTGAAGTTGAAGACCTATGCTATTCTATTCAGCTGCTATCACTCAACCATTTTGTTTGAGTGTGTCTATCTATATATTGTTTGATGATAATAATAATAATAATAATAATAATAATAATAATAATAATAAGTGTAGTCATCATCTATTTGGCTATATATATATATTTAGGCTCTTATTTATTCTTTTATTTTTGTCATTGTTTATCTTATATATAATAGTTAGTGCTTGATTTTTTATATAATATAAAGACATTAATTATTAAAATAAAATGTAAAAAACTCAATTTATAGTGATTTAAAAATATGAAATATATTGGATCATACTTAAAAATTTACAAAAATTGATCAATATTTATTTTTAACCAAATAAATATGATCATGGAAAAAAATATGCGTATCGGTAAGTTTTTTTCAAATTGTGCGAAAAATAAAAAAATTTACGGTTGCGGTAACCGCAACCGTTACACTACGGCCTTTACACCCCACAATCGCAACCGCGTCACTGCCACCGTTACGGCAACCGCAACCACTTTTCAGAATCTTGATTCTGGGTCACCAATTAGCTCACGCGTCTTCTGCATCCGAAGAACCCGCAGCTGGCACCTCTGGATTTGAAATAAATTGCTAATTAAAATGGTCCACAAAAACTCTCTGAATGGCCTTTGGTTCGGTAATTAAATTACCAGCCGCGCCTTGAATGAATGAAATATGATTTCTGAGTCGCCTCCAAGATGCCATATGGTGAAAAAACTTCTTGTCGCGTTCTCCTAACTTCATCCACTGTTGCTTTGACCATTGTGCGCAGTACATCTCCTGTTTGTGAAGCAATCCATTCAATTGTTGTCTCAGTTCCCACTCTTTGGACACATTCCTATTCCACTGAAGCAAAGACTGAACTTGCTGAAGCTGGCTTGGAATATCATCAATTTGACCTTGTGTGCTTCGGAAGGACAAGGCATGCCAATTCTTCAAAGGTTTTAACAATATTGATTGTCGTTGTGTGAGTTGACCCCTGTATTGGCACCTGCCAAACTTTCTTGATGATGTTCTGCGTTGTTTCATCTACCAACCAGACCGCCTCAAATCTGTACCGCCGTCAAAATAGGACATAATCATCCATTCATAAAATCCATAAAACATAATAGAAATGTTACATATTATATTCATCAGAGTATTCTTTACAAAAGATATTACATATTAGCAACAAAATGGATGCCTTACGGGCATACAGTTTGTCCAAGGCATCACTTGGTTACAACAAAAGAATCCTAACTCTATACATAGAAAGCCCGATGCTTGAATATACATTTAACATCTAAACGAATAACAAAAGGGAGTCTTCAACTCCAAAAACTCCCAAGCTAAGATCTTGAAGGTGACATATTACTTGTACCTGAAAAAATGGTATCTCAAGTAGGGTAAGCCAATGTCCAATAGAGATATGCCAAATATTATATGAGAATTAACTAAAACATTAGCATTCGATAAATGTTTAACACTTGAAAATTAAGTTACATTCTTTCCATAATCAATCAACATTGACATCCATATTTCAATCCACTTCAATTCAAAATGAGACTACAATTCATATCATCAACACTTCAATCATCAACATCATTCAGATGTATATAAGATTTCGGGACTTCACCCTAGACACTCCGGCCAACTTAATTATCAATGGAGTCCATTTCCTATCTCCTCCCAAACAAAGATGCATATGCAATGTATTTAAACATGTTGTCATATATAATGACCAATTAAATCACATATTCAATGTGTTAATCCAACCGTAATATTCAATGACATAATCCAATTGATTAGTTTTAATTTACCTAATCATCATGCAGTTTCTATAACAATCATGGCTATCCTCCACCGATAGCTCAAAACAGTTATCTCTAAATAGATAAATAAATCTATCAAACAGATAAATTATTAACTTTTCCATAGGTGAGTGATTTATCAATCCAACTACACTATTTAATCACAATTTCCCCAAATTTCATAATTCCCTAAACAATTTCATATTTTCACAATGATTTCACTATTTAAACAAATAATTTATATAATGCAAATTAAGGCATTCTCCCAATTTTTTTAAACATTGCACCCAAGGCCAAATTTTCCCCATTATACACAAACAACCCCATTTTCAAGATCTCACATACATATAGCCCAAAATAGAAAAACCCTCTTTTACTATTCCAAACTCAAAACCCTAACGTCACCCAAGCCAACCATTTATACAAAAATGACCAATATTTATGTTAAAGCTCATAGTAATGAGTAGATTATCCCTACCTCAAGAAGAGAAGATGAGTCAAGCAAGAGATGAACTCCAAAGATGACGAAATCAACTTCTACTTGGATGAAAATGGAGTTCTTAAAGAGCTCAATCTTTTTATCAAAAGAAGGAGGGTGATGAGATCACTAGATCTACGTTAAAATGTAGAGAGAGAGAAGCTCTCAACTTAGGGTTTTGGAAATGTTTAGAGAGAGAAAAGACAGAAAAAATGATTTAAAAAGTCACTTTCGCGATCTGATATACGCACAGTCCGTTCAAGCGAAGAGTTTGATGCTCAAGCGTCAGACACATAAATTGCAATAAAGGCCAGTCGAGCGCTAAGACACAACAGTAAGGCACTACCCGCTCGAGCGCAACGAGACCCGCTCGAACGTAGAATACACTCGCCCAGTATTTTATAGACTTCAGATAGTCGCTCGAGCACCAAAGGGGCCGCTCAAGCTCAAACCCACTCAAGCGTGAAAAACATTTCCGCAGTATTTTTTGCAGACGCACAAAGTACTGAAAGATTGCAAACCCTGGTGGAGCTCAGGAAGACCCGCTCGAGCGGAAGACCAAAATTCTAGGCAACAAGGTTCTAAACCAACAACCAACCACCTTGTTCTGAACACGCCCAAGACATTTCAAAACTCAAATTCAAAGGGTAAGAAGAGAAAAAGACATAAACAACAACATTAAACCACAAAACCTGAGTCCGAAACACCATAAAAGTTGAGTTAGAAACCGGGATCGCTATAACCTCTCTCCCCTTCAAGAATTTTGTTCCCAAAATTACAAATTAAGTTCAAAATCAACGTTTGGTCATTCCCAACCATGTTATTCTTACAAATCCAATACCATGACCCATCCTCCGGCCATTCATTCCCATCGACTCGATACAAGAGCCCCATATTGAAACAAAATTCACAATTTCCACAACATTAACAATGTTTAATCAAAATTCAAATTTTCAAAAAGTGTACATGGCATATACAATGCTCCCAAGATAATACAATGCACGTGATATTCTATATTCCCAAACATATGCAATATTTACAATAAACTCATATTCCCAAGATGTCCATAACATAAACAATATTCTCATACTTCTAAACATATACAATGTTCATACTTTTCTTTAACAACAATTACAATCTCAATACAAAGTCATACATTAGCAAACAAGTCTGGATACTTCTCTCGGACTTCCATTTCACGTTCCCATGTCGCTTCCTTAACTCCGTGATGTTTCCACAATACCTTGACCAAGGAAATCGTCTTGCCTCATAAGACTTGGTCCCGTCTATCCAAGACCCTCACTGGTCTCTCCTCATATGAAGCATCCTTATCTACTTCTAAGTTGGTCCAATACAACACGTGTGATGGATCTGGCTCATATTTCCGAAGCATACTAACATGAAACACATCATGTACTCTAGATAGTTGCGGTGGCAATGCTAAACGGTAGGCTACCTCCCTAATCCGCTCAAGGATCTCAAAAGGGCCAACAAACCGAGGAGACAACTTCGCACTCTTCCCAAACCTCATCAAACCCCGTCTAGGTGATATTTTCAAAAAGATGTGATCACCCACCTCGAATGAAAAAGGTCTCCTCCTACGGTCGGCATAACTCTTTTGGCGACTCTGGGTTGTAACTAACCTCTTATAGATAAGTGCCACTTTCTCTGTCGTTTCTCACACCAACTCCGGGCTCAACAAAGGTGTATCACCCACATCGGCCTAACACACCGGAGATGTACACGGTCAGCCATACAAGGCCTCAAATGGTGCCATGCCAATACTCGATTGGAAACTGTTATTATAGGCAAACTCCACTAAGGGTAGGTGTCTCTTCCACGACCCCTTAAAGTCAAGGACACAGCCTCGAAGCATATCTTCAAGGATCTAAATAGTACGCTCGGACTGCCCGTTAGTCTGAGGATGGTACACTGTGCTAAAAGTCAATCTAGTGACCAAGGCACTCTGCAAACTCTGTCACAACCTAGCAGTGAAGCGCGGATCTCTATCTGAGACAGTCGACACTGGGACCCCATGTAACCTCACTATGTCCTGAATATGTATAAAAAAATAGATTACTTGGGAAGGGACTATTTTTGGGATTATAATTTTGAAAATTTTGAGGTGTTTGTATGACATGATTTGGGAAGATTTTGACCAGAGGGAGAGAGAGAGGGGGGTAATGCTATTTTAGCCGAAGTTGTTGACTTTTTTTGTGTGAGTAAGGAGTCCATTTATCTGACCCACTGATTTTTTGAATTGAGTGATTGGTCATCTTCTTCAACTAGGTGACCTAGACAAACCTTTAATGCTTCCCCCCACCACTGACCTCCTCCTCAAAAGCTTTATTAGGGTTGATTAGGACGTGACTTATAATTTTTTAGTTTTTTGATTTTTTATTACTTTAATTTGGGGTTAAAAAAAAAATTGGAATAATTTTTTTAATTTTTATAAAAGAAAAAATAAAATAATTATGAGTTAAATATGATATTTTTTTTATTTGGCTAAAATATCATATTTTGTCCTATTTAAGTATTTTAGCCCAAATAAGCATCCCAAACGGGGCTTTAATTTTTTTAAAATTATTTATCTTACTTCTCTAAAAAAAAATTACATTTTGTTTGATTTTGAATTTTTAAAAATAATTTTAAATTTTTTATTTATATTTTATTATTTTAGTGATT